CCCACCTCAGCTGAAACCTTCTTACCATTCTACATGACTTATGTATCATGTCACGCTTCGTATTGTAAAGGAGCATACAGGAGGATATTTTTTAGGTTTGATTCTGTTAATGCACTTTTTACAAATCTAAGTAGAGGAGAGCTGTTTTATTTCATATATGACTGAATCTTTCACCTATGGAAGGGATGGTGGAATAGCAAGCTTTTACTACATATATTTGATGACAAAACAGGCATACAATTCTGAATAGAATCCCTGAATTTGGAAGAACATAGCTAAATAACTTGATATCCTCTGAGCATTATTCAGAGGCATGTTACCTGAGAATATTCTTGAAGAGTAAAACCTTTTTCTGTTTTTCTTTCTCTTTTTTGCATTCTCTCCCTTCGGCCAGAGAGCGTTTGAGTAGGCGTGCTTAGCTCATGCGCTCTCTGTGAGAGGGAGCTCTCCCTTGCTCTTGAGGAACTGTGCCCAGGCAGAGCCTTCACTGACTTGCTTTGCCTGTCGCAGACCGTACATGGGCTTTCAGGATCAAGGCCATGGGAGAAGATAAGAAAGGCCGATTGGCTTTATTTAGCATGGCTTGAAAAGGTCACAATTTGTATTGAATTGTTAAATCTAGACATTGCTAAGAAAATCCAAGAGCTTGCCAGTACTACCAGAAAATACTGCCAATGGGTGTATGGAGTTGATTGTCAAGGAACAGAAAAGAGCCAGAAATGCGTTGCTCCTTGTAATAAGAATGACCTCATGGTAACTAATATCAGAGCCTAATATGTCCCTAAAATAAACTGAGACAAATGCGTTTATTTAAAATGGTTTTGTTGTTCCCTCTCCTTTTGAGTGCTTTAGGAAGCCAAAAAAACAGACCCTAAGAACCTGACTCCACTGTTCTAGTCATGCTGGGCTATGTGTTTGGGAGCAAAAAGCTTGTTCTGCTCTCTTGTTGCTGTTTCAAATCCAGTAGGAGCTGCTTCCATATATGCCTAGCCTGGACTTGATTCATTCTTTCATTCTTTGATAAACCTATTTAAAGAGCTCTGGTCCTTTAAACTTTCATTTGACAATAAAGTTTCTCTTTAAGTGACTTTAGGATCCAGAGTTCTGCTGATTTGCCGAGGGAGAGCGTTTAGGTGGGGTAATTTGCTGAATTCTTCTCAAATGATTTTAAGAAATGAATGTACACTGAGAATTTGGAATGAATCCGAGCTGTCAGCCTTGCTGTAGGATTCCCACTAGCGATTCACCACAGAAGGAGAGGAAGATCAGAAAGAGCAGATGTTGGCAAAGGGATAAGGGCGCAGACTGCTAGGCCAAACCTTGACATTCAGAAGAGAGGGGTGGAGAGCTAGAGTGTGAAGTTTGGTGGGAATTGACAGCCATATTGATAAAGAAGGGCAGGACTGAGAAACCCAAAGGATTTCTGAGGTGGCTGGTGCTGATGGAGCAGGAGAGACACAGCATGGCTGTGCTGGGGTGTGCTGAGGGTCTGTATGTAAGGAAGGGGTCATGGATGCTTTTGGAAGTGAGCACTGGGGGCAGAACTTCAACAGAGATCATAGAAAGCAGTGGTCGGGGAAAAACGGAGTGAAAAGGCCTTGAGGCAGGTAAAAGAGATGAACTAGAGCCGTGGGTTAAAAGAGAAATGGCTAAGGAAATATGCGGCTTACAGGTCAGCAGCTTGAAAGCTAAAATCATGTAAGTAAGTGGGAAAAGCTGGGAGAGAGAGAGAGACAGGCTTTGAAATCAGAGTGGAAGGCTGATGGAGAGGTGGGTGATAGATGAGACAATGCAGAGGAGGAGAAAAGACTTGGAGCCAGAGCTACTCAGAACAGGAAAGAGTAGGAAGAAGTAGAAGCAGCAGAAATAGGCCAGAAGAAGATTAACATCCCCTGCACCTGACCCAGAAGTAGGGTGGGAGAGCAGGGGTGCTTTCAAGGAGAGAAGGCTGCATGGCTCCTCAGCCTGTTAGGTCTGACACTGCCATTACGGACTGTTAGATTGTGGCTCCCCTCTGCCGTCCCATCCTCACAAGCAACAGTACAATCACCGATGACGTGCATGGATAATACGTTCTCACTTGCTTGTGCAGCTCCTTAAAATATAGCTCAAGAAGGCATAGCAACCATTACTGTATTTAAAATGAAATATTATTTATCAAAATAGATTACTCCCAAACATGACAACACCTTGCAGTGAATCTGCAGAGTTTCTGGCGTTCTAGCTACTTGTACATGTACACAAATTTCTGCTAAGCTTTGTTCATCCCAGAGGATGCCAGCGCCATGTCATGCTGAGTGTGTTTTGCATGTAACGTTATATGCAGCTGCAGTTTTCCAGGACTTGGCTGCTTCTGACTGCATAAGCCACTCCATACCAGTAGCAAAGTCCTGTGACCCATGTATTGTTCAGCACCACTCAGATCAATGGAGAAGAATCCAGAGTAAGAAACTAGAACAAGAGGGGATGATTGCTGTTATTTCCTAACCGATGACTGTTTATTGAACTTGTTTCTTAGTCTTTAAAATTTCTAAACAGTGTACATTCCTGGTGTAGGTGACTTAGGCCTGGCTGGCTGGTGTTATAAGAAGGCCAGCATCTTAATATGG